ACGCTCCGCCCGGACACCGTGACAGCAAACGCTGTTCCTCCGACGCACCTTCCAGGTGATCAGTATATGATATCGCAGAGGTGTGAAGCGTTCTGAGATTTTATTAGTGTTTCTCCATCAAATGGCCTAACGTCAAATGCTTTGTTTCCGAGCTCGACTGTCACTTGGACGTCTGAAATGCGGCCTCTCCGCCCACACCCCCCTCTTATCTGGGAGAAGAAAGCGAGAGCACCGTTAAAATGAAGACCGACACGGGGATAAGAATTTGAGCTCCGTGTTTATACCTTGAGTGGGAAAAGCTAGCGGTTAGGCTAGCCAGACAGCTCAGACACCCGGCGGCGGCTCGGATATCGAATTAGTGCCATTAGTGGTCATGGCTGGGCTCATCAAGAAGCAGATCCTGAAGCATCTCTCCAGGTCAGTGCTGAGCGGTAGCTAACGTTAGCAGACAGCGAGTGTAGCGAAAAGGACGATGTTAGATGCTAGCTCGCTGTCACCCTAACCTTACAAGTGAAAACGAAATGTATTCTTTGCTGGACATGGATGATAGCTTTTCCTCTTGCGGTCCAGTGAATTAGACCGCCTTCATGGTGTCTGTCAGCTCCGTTTTCAGTTTGTGTGACCCTGACTGACCTGAGACGTGGCTTCTCAGCTAGCTTGTTAGCGTCTGGGTTAGCTAGCGAATGGCTTATCCCTCCACATTTGCTCTGGCAGGTTGGACCAGTCGAGCGGTTGAGTCAGGTTACTTAATAACAATCTCAGTCTCTCCACAAAGGTAAAATTCCCCTCACTCAGTCACCGCTAGCTAATCTGCCTTTTGCAACAGTGAGATACCTTTATCTTAATTGGACATGAATGATCTAATATTAATTTGGTAAGTGGGGAGTCAGAGCAGGGCAATTTATCAGGGTGCACGTTTGTTTACTCGGGTTTAAACCTTATCTGGTGGTTTCAACACTCCCTATCACAAGTCACACATGGACCAACCCGGAACACCATCGGCACAGCACAGATCATTTAGACAGGGAAATTTACTGTACTAACACACCTGACAGGATTCTGTCACTGTTCAGCTCCTTTTTATATGCTATGATATAAATGAACATAATATTGTTTCAGAACCTGTTTAATGGCACTGCTACTTATTGTGTAAGACCTTTTTAATGTCCTGCTGTTATGGGCAGCATTCAGTCTTGTCTGCTTTACATGCATTATTTATTCTTTTCCACGATGGACCACTAACCTGTTTTGTTCCAGGGGAGGGCTTGAAACATGCAGAATATCAATCACATTCACACCTTGAAGGGATATATTAAATAATAATCCCTTTTATATTGCAGGTCACAGATGACTTATTCTCACTGGTATGCAGGACCTGTTTATGTTCTTGAAAATAAAAAGCACAAAGGTGATTGTGCTAGTTGGAAAAAAGACTTTTGTAGTGACTGAATTGGGACTAATTTGTTAGCTGGTTAATGCCTTAATAGTGTGTTTTGGATAGCTTTGATATTCTTGCACAATACTGCTACCAAGATTTGCATTGTCTGTGACACACAGCCTATAGGCTGCATGGCCTTTGCTGTCCTAGTACGCAAAGTTGTGCATTGTGTGTGTGTGTGTGTGTGTGTGTGTGTGTGTGTGTAGAGGAAATGCATAGTGTTCCTGCATGACTGTGCAAGGCCTCAGCTTGACTAGCATCAGCACTGTCAGGAAATAACAAGAAAAGTGGAGATGTCATCAGTCTTTGGGCTGGGCATTTGATCTGCTTTGTCCTGACCTGATTGGTCTGGCACTGAGCGGAGGTCGACCCTTCTGGCAGTTGTCCAATCTGGTGTCAGAAGCTGCATCGCTTTACTCAGTCTTCTGTATGAGTACAGCCACAGTAGACTATAATTATTATGTGTGCTTGGATGATTCTGGCTGGATTTTGTTGCAGCCTTGAGCTGCTACCTCAGCATCAGCCAGCTGATGTATCAAACTAGTTTGTACTGCCTGCTAGCGTATTCATTCATACAGCGTTGGAGTGCTTATGCAGCTACAGGTTACGCTGTGGGTGTAAACATGTCAGTTCAGCCACCATGCTTAACTTTTGCAGCAGACACATGTCTGTGGCCTCAAAAGCCTGTTAGTGAGGCAACACCACATCTTTAGAGAAGTTTGCAATGGGTGTTCCTCCTTCATTGCATTGAACCATGCATGACGTAAGAAGAAGCCTTTTGTGTGGCTTCCTGTTCAAAAATGTCACTGAATATTGAGTGGTGTGGCTGGGTTATTCTAATGCGAGATTGTATTTATAAAGTCTTTGACAGAAGGTCAGACTCAGGTAGTCCCTGGGGTTGAGTTGGTGACAAGATGCATGTTTGTCTGCATTAACGACAGGGTTAGATTATTGACAGAGCCCTGGCCCAGAGCCAGGTAGAGCAAGGTTCTGTTACACACACGGACACAAATGGATGGAGGAACAGCTTTCCACTGTTAGACGTGCTGGGTCACATTCTTTATACTTTGTTCTCATCCTTCCACAGAAGGGTGAAAGGTCAGACAATACGTTACTTTAACTCAGACATGACCCTTTTGTTTTCCTTTCATTATGTTTGAATAAAGATGATACGTTGGCTCGTTATTGGAAATCTTATCGCCACTAACTGACTCCGCAAGAATTTTATCCATTAAATTTTCAGTCAGTGAAGTCGAGAGGTTAATACAGGGAGCAGCCAAGACTGAACAGAAGGGATTGTAGCTCGCTATCACAAATGGGCCCTCCAGTGTGTGCTAGTACAACAAGTCTTTTCTTTGTCATCAGTGGAGGTTTAGGGCTCATTGGGGTGTGGGAGATGGGTCCGTTTCTTCTGTTGTTATCTTGAGCCTCTTTAGGCCTGACTCTTCATCCTGCTGCATCTGTGTGACAGTGCCATACATTGAAGCAGTCCACTGTTCGCATTGTTATTGCTCACTGCTGGTGGGACCACTATTATGGCATGAGTCACGACTGCGTGCCCAGGGCTGTCTCATCACTGTGTAGCTGTGAAGTACTTGGCGTTTGTGTACTGAATATCTAGTATGTGTTTTTATGTGTGTCAGAGAGCAACATTCGGCCAGAGTCCGTCCAAGCCTTGGCATCCTTCGCTGCTGTGTAACCAGGGCCTTGGATTGTTTTCTCCTTCACACTAACCTTTTCACATCCTCACACAGCGTCATATACTGTGTGTGTGTGTGTGTG